CCCCAAAACCCCAAAACCCCAAAACCCCAAAACCCCAAAACCCCATTCTTAATTAAGATAATTGAACTATTTTAAAATGCATAAACTTATTAGATCAGAGAATAATTTAGCCTTCAAATACAAAAATTACCCTAAAATTATTCTATTCAGGCACTTTATTATGAGTTTTGAGGGTAAAACCCTCTGAATATATTTGTAGGTTCTTTTCTTATGATCTTTAGGTCTCGGCCACTTGCTTACTTAACATTGAGCTTTGGCAAGCATGTCTCCTTTCAGCCCATCTTGCTCATAAACGCTTGTACAAAAGCACAGTTCCTCTACCATTCAAATTGAAACTCTTAAATCCAATGGGAGCAGAGGAATAGTGACATAGCTACTTCAGAGTATCAGTCAGCGAGCTGTCCTAAGGAATTAGACAAGAACTAGCAAGATTTTATTGGGAATGTGCAGATTGAGGCTGAATGACAGCAAGAGGCGAAGAAAGGAGGGCTATTGAAAACTAGATCTAGAGTTGTGTTTTAAGGGATGAAGTAGATTGGAGCCAGTGAAAATTTTAAGCATTGACGATTAGGTGGATGTGAGTTAATGCGGTTTTGAGAATTCGTTAATTTAAATAATTCCATTGCTTCTTCTCTAACAGTTTTGCTTCATTGCCTTCGTAAGATTGTTGCCAAACTTTGGGGTTGCGATTGTTATTTATTAAATATTTTCTTCTGTTTAATTTCATATTGTAAAAGTTTCTTTTATGTTTTTACTTCAATAATATGTTTACTTAATTTATTTTAGGATTTTACTTTGTCTTAAACTCTATTTCTCTAGCTTTCTTTTATCTTGTTATTATTTGTCTGACTTTATTCTTATTTTTAACTGCTCCGTTTTATGATTACTCTCCTTCTTTGTCTTTTCTTTTAATTATTTAGCATTTAATTTTTTGCTTAGATTTATTTTTTCTGATATTATAATGTATTATTTCTGGCTCTAACCTCCTTTTGTTATTCTCTTTGTTATATCGTTACCATAAGGTATGATTAGTTTGCTTTGTTTGTGCTTTGTTTTTCGATCTTCAAATATCTAATTATCTGGATGTATTTGGTTCTGAGCATCTTGTTTGTTTAAACTAATCTTACTTAGCTATTAAAATTATGCATTTTGTTTCCCTTTGTTAATAAAGTTTGGTTTGCTTACTCTTGTTTTATATTATTCTCCTCTTCCGCATTCCTTTATTTAATAGTTCTTATTTTGACATTCTTGTAAGTTTCACTTAAATTGTCTATTATTAATTGCTTGTTAAGTCTTACTATCATCTTCTAAGTTAGGTTCAATGTTCTCGTATTATATGTTCTTATTCTAGATGCCCAATAAGTTTCATCTCTTCGGTTTCTAATCCTTTCGTTGGTATGCCAGAACTAATTTATTTGTTACAAATTTTACTTCTAATGACTTTTCTTGCAATAAAACTGGTTTGTATCTTTTCATGGGTTTTGATAGACAACATTTTAGGTGTTCTGGATGAAGTGTTTACTTGTATTTTGTTTCAGCAAATGATTGGTGAAAAATGACTTTCTTAATTTCTTAATCATGGAGAGAGAAGAATCCTTTGTAAGATAGTATGTTAAAATTCTTCTTTTAATATAATTTGTTATAAGAGTTATTAATTTTATTCAAACCTTTCTTTGAATCTTCTGAATTATTCTTAATTTTTTAAAATATAATCCTGGCTTATCAGTGAAACGGATAACTTTGAAGTTTTATTTCTCCGAGAATTTTATTTTGGGAAGATCAATCTCCTCATTTTTGTTAGTGTCAGACTATTTTATAACATTATTAAGCAAGATGTTTGACAAGAAGAACAATAAGGGTTTGATCATTAATATAATGCTGAAAGCCTTTTTACATATGGTAAATAGGTTCTATATTTCAGTGCAGGAATTATTCAGCTTTGTGTCTCCATTAATATTCGATCTCCTTTTTTAGTTTTAAAGGATTCGTTTTCAATCTTTATACTTTAAAAAGGGGTTTTGGGGTTTTGGGGTTTTGGGG